TCGGAGCACTCTTTTCTTCAGATAGTATAGGGAAACCAAAGATTTAGGATCTTGTGTTCCCACCTGTGTATTCCTACTAATGGTATTTGCTTAACAGACCAAAATGGAGGGCACACTTGTTTGGGTTTTTTAATTTTATTTTAATTAATTTAATTAATTTAATTAATTAATTGAAAGAACTTTCAGGTCTTTGTGTCTTTTGCAGAAGACATTTCACAGATGTACATTCTTCTTTTTCTTTGTTAGTTTCCATAATGGAAAAAGGAAGCACAGTTTTCAACAGTGCACAAAGGCTGGAAGTTGTTAGAAATTGCATCTCATTCATTTTTGAAAACAAATTTTTGGAGACTGAAAAGGTAATAAAATGAATTTTTAACTTTCCCAAATAAGCCTGTTCTGTTAATGAGCAAATGGAGACTGACCTTGTCACAAAGTACATTTTGAAGTCTTTTTTCAAATACTAATGATTTATTTTAACCATTTAAATGAATGAAGTAAGCAGTAAAGCTAGTTATATAAATGCAATACTGTGTGTAATATGAGGCTAATGGATTTGAAAACCTGTTTGTAATATTACATACTACATGGGTGCATTGAGGCTATTTTTTGTGCTGTACGTTGCCATTATAAATAGTATTGTCCACATAATTTCTTTTTAAAGCAGTGTATTAACTCTAGCAGTATTGACTGGGAGGAGCACAAACAAAAGACATACACAGACATTTCAGTGTTCGTCAGCCAATGCTCTTTTGAAATTTTCAGTACAGTAAGTTTTGGTAGTTTTAAAGATCAGTAATTTTATAGAACTCAGAGATGAATGTAAATATTCGCCATGGCTCTCTTTACTTAAATGTACTAGTGAGTTGTCATCCTTGACATGCTTAGATTTTCAAATTAAAATGTTTCTGGGTTTTACAGATTCTGTCCATAGAGTTTTCAATTATTGATTCTAGAACCTACACTGAAATCTAATTCTACATATGAAAATGACTGTGAAGTAATTTTTAGCACTTTTTTTATACATCTCGGAGAAGTATCACCCGTGCATTCTGGGGCTATGCAGCTCAATAAGAAAATGGCCGGGTTTGATTTACAAGTTATGTTATGGAAATGCATATGGGAGAAGTTTTAATAAAATATGTAGCTCTTTTTAAAGAGTTTTGGTGCCTGTGTAATACAGTAGTATTTAACCTTTTTTAAATTACAGGCACATGAAAAAATTGAGTAAATTTTTTGTCCCCCTGCATGATTTGTCCTTAGATAAGACAATAGGCTGCCATTTCTTATTGATCTGTTACCACCCATTAAATACAGTCTAGAGGGCCACAGTTGATAATCACCGATGTAGCGCTTGCTGCATCTTTGAAACATTGGCATAAATATTCTATTGGCACTGTTTTAGGGTAAACTGCATAACAGTCTTGTGGCCTCGTTGCTAAGATAGGTATGCCACTTCTAAAACCGTTTGTCATTCACTTCTTATCAAAAAACAAGCTGGTTGGCCTTGATGTCCTAACTTGAGGCCTGGCCTGGCTTGTACAGTATAGAGCATTTGCTTTCATGCACAGTAATCCATTTCTGATTTCACATGCACTCGATGCCTGTCCGTATTCAATAATTTCTATTTGCAGATGTAGGTGAGAAATGCTGTTTATTGCATTTGAAGAAAAAATGGGAAGAATTTACTACTTAATGACTGCAGCTAAATCAACCATTATATGAAAGTGTGATATTCAAGCTAATAAGTAGTTTTCAAAGTTATTCTTTAATACACTGTCACTTGGAATTTCTTAATAAAGAATTAATGATATTCAGTATGAATGGTGCCATTCAATTTCATTTTCATAAAGGTAGATTTTCTTCTCTTCAGACCCTGCCTGCAGCTCTGAGAGCCCTGAAGGGAAAGGCAGCTCGGCACTGCCTGACACAGGAGTTAGGCTTGCATGTTAAACAAAATCGAGCAATACTGGACCATCAGCAGTTCGACTACATTGTGCGAATGATGAACTGTGCTTTGCAGGTACAATGTGTGAAGGTTTTGTTTTTTGGTTGTCTTTGTTTTGTTATATGATAAGCAAAAAATTGTTTAGAATGATGTGGAAAAGCAAAATAATTAAATTATAGGACAGTGATATGCTTAGAGTGATGTGTCAGAAACTACTTGACTGTGGATTTAAGAGATTTAAGGTATTAGGCAGGTCTATACAGATCTACTTGATATGAAAACCAGAAAGAAAACTCTTTCCATTATTAACAATGTAGATGTAACTTAGTTTTTTAAGTATTGAAATGATTTATCTTAATGGCTTGGAGTACTTTCTTAGTGAACGGGTGTTAGGTTTTACAGGTAATGCTACTTTGACCTCCTGAAGTGTGTATTACCCATTGCTCAGTTAAAAAAAACAACCCTTAAGTTTGTCCTCTTTGTCATCACAAGTGTGAACATATTTCAAGAAGAAAGCATACTTTCTGCTTCCATGGTTCATGCTTGTAGTTCTACTTGTCACAGTGACATCTTAGTTTGTCAGAGACTCACTGAAGGTGTTTGGAGTTCATCTATTAAGTTACTCTACTGATAAATAATTTTGGGCTGAAAAAGCATCAACATATGGTGGCAGCTACCTACAACTTTCATTTGAATAATTGTTTTGGGTGAGCTTAATTTGTTTGCAGTTCATTGTCAGAAATATTTTATAGACATCAGTGTTTTCATCCTGATATCTGAGAATGCAGTAGTGTCTTTTTTAGTTTGTAATGTGATCACATTTGGTTACAATTTGCCTCCTGTTACATTGATATTTTAAGCCCACTCTCCTCTAACCTAAAAACTGCTCAAATTATTTTGCAGAAGTTTGACCCGTATTTTTAGAAAGGTGACTGCTAAATACAGCTTTCATGTAAATATAGATACAGATTAACACTGACTGAGCAAATGCTACCTCAGGTCTCTATCAAATGTAAGATTCGTTGTCTGTTCTATTTCTCATTTGTTCACAGTAGATGTTTTTCTACTGTTTGAAACAAAACTCAACTTTGCCGGAGCAGTGGTTTTGCAGTAAAGTTACCTGTAGCTGGCAGATGATAACTGAAGTCAACTGGCTGAAATTGTATGGCATGTACCAGAATGTCCATTTTTTGGCACAAGCATTGGCCTTTTCCAAGCTTTAACTTAAGTTTTGCTTCCAGCTCTGAGGCTATCTGCAAAACCGTACTTCTCTGCCCAATGACCAATGGAATACTGACCCACTGTGTTAGAAATTTCCTTTCAAACCAGAAAGCAGGATTGTCTAGATGTTGTTTCTACTTTTTTGATTGTTTGTAGGATTAAAAACTCGAGATATTTTTCGACAATAGGAACGAAATACGCATCCCCTTTATTTGCCATATCTTAGTAGAAAATAGATGGCAGAAGAAAATGGGGAGTTGAGGAAATTTCCTTTGCTGGGGAAAGAATTACTGACATCACCTTTTAATAAAGCAATGAAATCCAATTTTTCTCTAGGAGAAAAATGTTGTTTTTCTTTCCAGTGATTTGAAGACCCAAAAAGGACCTTAATGTTCACAGAAATGAATGTGTCTGAAGTATTCCTGAAGTCAAAATAGAATAGGGTTTGGTTGTTTTGTGTTTGGTTTTTGGTTTTTCGTGGTGGTTTTTTTGTTGTTATTGTTTGGGTTTTGGGTGTTCGGTTTTGGGGTTTTTTTGTTTGTTTGTGGGGGTTTTTTTGGGGGGTGTTTTGGGTTTTTTTTCCAACAAAACTAGTGAATATAATGCAAATCATGCAGAGGAAACAGATCAAGTAAGGAGGCGCAGATTTTATGCTTTTTTCACCCAAACAGTATTTTCAGATCTGTGGAAATATAAAATGGAAATTTCAATTTCTTAGATGTCAGCTTGGCCAATATGAAAACATCTGAACTCCTGACACTGAGCAGCTAGTTAGAAGCAAGTATTTAGAACATATACTTTTATGGTGTATGAAATGATTTTTTAAGTTATGATCATGATCTATTAAGATAAAAGGATGATTTATAATTTGTCCACTTTGTTCAACTGTATTATTTGGAACGATATGTAAGTTGTGACATTTTGGAGCTTCCCTGTATCAGAAAAAAATACATTATCCACAAGTTAAGTTTGCCCTTGCTGCAGTGGGACTCAGCATGTCAGCATTTTGCTGTAGAGACAAGAATTCTGTTAGTTACAGGTCATAAGACCAAGTCATTTAAACAGTGTCTGTTAAAAAGATACAAAAATCTAATTAAAGAAATGCGGTCTTAGCTGGAGATGTATTCAAGCTTTAAGGAAATACCACATTAATTACAATAGAGTTTTGGGGGGAGAGTCAGCCTGCAGTACTGCTTTAAGACCTCACTGAACTATTGGAGTTGTAGAAACTGTCTCAGTCATGCCACTGAACATCTCACCACAGATTTTTCTGTTAATGTTATTTTATGTTCCTGTTGGCTTCCATAAGATACAAACTAAAGTATTGCTGTGGCCAGGAGGCACGTAGCAACTGATAGAAAAGCTGAGAGGAAGGGAAGGCACCAGGCAGAGTCCATAGGTTGGGCAGAGCCCTGGCTCTCCACAGTACATACTGAGTTGATCTGGCATGTGTGTGCCTGATGGTTTGCCGTGGGAAATACCAGTCTTTGCGGGCTTACTTGCTCATGTGGATAGGAAATCTGATGCTCCCCTGCCACCAAACCTCTGCTACTGGTAGTGTGAATTGTTGCAAACCATAGTATTTCAAGAGATATAGGTTGACCACTTCTGAAAAATGTCTTTTGAAACAGAAACTGCATTACTGCCATGTACGGAATCCTTTTCTTACTGGGAACAGTGCCACATATAACAAAACCAGGAGGATTGCATTCTGCAAGTTTATTGCAGATCCCTCTGTTACTAGTCAAGATTTTCCTGGGTGTTTTGTGTTAGGTTTTTTTCTTTTAATAGAATTTGTTCTCTTGTTTTACTAGTGTCCATAAACATAAAGGTCACATGCTTTTTTAGAGCTTCTGTACACTTTTTTTAAAGATGAAGAGCAGTATGTTAGCAAAATGTTAGCAATAATACCACAATGCATATTGTGGCTGGTGGAACGTGTCTGCTACCACAGTGCTTCAGAATAGATTAAGAGGAATAAAATACTCATACCATTGCTTCAGGATAATAGCTGCTTTATTTCAGCAAAGAATTCCTCAGGCTGTATTTCCCTAAGTATCCAATCTCTAGCCATTTTGCAACTGGAAGGAGGGAAGGATGGTATCTTACTGATTTCTCTGGAGATGGCAAAAACTTGGGCTTGCAGGATCTCTGGTGTTTATCAGCTTGAGTCTCTCAGTCCAATAGTGGCATTCTTTTGAATTGTTGCTCATTAGGCTGTTTACAATCAGGAGGTAATGGACAGGACCTCACTGCAAATTTTTGATAGGCGTATAATCTGAGGAATAGTACAATAGAGTTTCTTATTATTCTGCCATATTTAGCAGATAGGCAGCTGCATGTCAAGCCTTGTGGTGGACTTCAGGTGGCTTTACAAATACAGTTAAGGCAATTCATGATACAGTAAGTCAATACTGAAGTGTTAAGAACATGTTTCACTGAGTCTGTTTGTGCTTGGGAAGTACTTCTGCTGAAATGAAAATGATTGTTCTTAGTAGCAGGAAGATGAAAATTATATGGAGATTGTGTTGTTCATTGATTAAAGCAGATGTCTTCTGATGAGAGCAGTTAAATCCACAGTTGTTTGCTTTTATCTCTGCTAGGAGTTGTCATCGGCCACTTGCCAAAAACTTTATTGTCATGGCCTAAATAAGAATTTTTCCCCTGACAAATCAGATAATCTGACAAGCAATTAAATCAGCCTGTATTACAGTATTGATTAGTATCTGTGATAGCAGAGCGGAAGCATTATGTCTGTTCTACATGTTATGTAACTAAAATTACTGTTAAAACCCATCTACAGTGTTGCAAAAGCTTAATATATTAATTGACAATTTATGCATACAGATGGCACTGTAATGAGAAAAAGGTGAAATTATTTCTCTAGAAACTATTTCCATCATGTTTGCTCTCTGCTGCTGTGTTTACATCAGAATAATTTGCAATTACACAAAAAATTCCTATTTTAAAAGTTTTTTTCTCTTTAATTTTCTGTAATGTACTGCTTTTCTCTGACATTTCAGAAAAGGCTACTTAACATTTTTACAACTAAGAAGCCTGTTCCAGAGAAACATTTATTCTATGTAATTATATTTCTAGCAGCACATTGGATCCTTAATACTCATTAAGAAATAATAGCAAAACCAGTCTCAAGGCTCGATTTGCATACTTCTCCATTAGTTTATTAGAATCAACATGACTTGTCCAGTTTTCAATTGTCTCTGACTTTCTTCTGGCAGCACCAAAGGAACTCGTAGTTAGAAACGTAGTAGCTCTTAGTTTGATAACATGGCAGTAAAGGCAAAAAGAGGGATGAAGATGGTAACTTCTTCCATTGTGTAGGTGGAGAGTACTTGATAAAAAGATATTCTAAACAACTTGCATAAAATAACAGTAACAGTGAGGCTTACTAACAGAAAAAGAAATATGGGGAAAGATTCTCTTCTGAGGACTATGAACTAGCCTCCTTTGGCAGTTGGGACGGATAAAACTTTTCATATAAACAGAAAAACTCCAAACCTACAATGTTGCAATATCACATTGCCTCTGTAAGATGTCACTAATATTGCCTAACTTTGTATTAATGCTTTGGCAAATATGGGTCAAATTGGAAAACATATGTGCCCCAGACATCTGGAGTACTTCATCTAAATGTGGTTAGAGTGGGAATAAGGTGCATAAAACTGTTAAATGCATAAATGCTTTCAAAATTCTTTTCTTTAACTGTAGGAAAGGGGTAGGGTCTTCTAATGATGTGATATAATCTGACAGCCTACAAAGTCATGAATGCTGTTTTAAGACCAGTTTCACATCTGTGAGAATATGTGGTGTTGTAGACAAATTATTAAACCTTT